GGTCAGAGAAAAAGAGGAAGACCCCCAACGAGATGGATTGGCCAAGTGACAGCATTGATGGCCTCAAGTTTGGCAACAGTAGTGAAGTTGGTCCAGGATCGGACAGTGTTTCATTCTGCTGTGCTTAAGGTTGCTATGGGTTGGTACTGACTCGATGGCACCTAACAACAACAAACATACTCAGTGTGGCACTGTCGGATAAGCACTGGACCCAAGGTCAGTTTGAACTACAAGGTATGTATGAGTGGGAATAAACCACACCAGCACCTAACAACAACAGCATGCTAAATATATTGTTGTTGTTGTTATGTACCGTGGAGTTGGTTCCGACTCATAATGACCCTGTACAGGGTTTCTGAGGGAGCAGAAAGCCTCATCTTTCTCCCGCAGAACAGCTGGTAGTTTCAAACTGCTGATATTGCGATTCACAGCCCGATTCGTAACCACTACGCTACCAGAGCTCCTTCAGGAATTAAATGTACTTCCCTTTTAAAAGTGATTTTCAGAATATTTGTGAAGATGGAGGTAATAACTTTTTTTGTGTGTTTTAGATGTTCTGCTGAAAGGTAATAGTGTTGTGTATAGTAACTGCAAAGCTATGAAAGCAATGTGCTGTAGTAAAAAGAGAAACCCAGGCGTGCATGCTTTTCTATCACTGGCATGCAGGGAGGTTTGCATTGTATATGTTAACTTCTGTAAACTTTGCAACCTCATTTAAGAGGCTGTTATTATTAGGTGTCCTTGAGTCAGTTCAGGCTCATAGTGAACTATTCACAACAGAACAAAACACTGTCAGGTTCTGTGCCATCCTCACAACTGTTGTTTTGCTTCAGTCCATTGCTGCTGTCATTGTACAAAGCCATCTCCTTGAGGGTCTTCCTCTATTAGGCTGACCCTCCATTTTACTTAGCATGATGTTCTTCTCCATGCACTGGTCCCTTCTGATAGTATGTCCTAAATATGAGAGACGAAGTCTGGTCATCCTGATTTCTAAGAAGCATCTGGCTGTACTTCTTCCAAAACAGACTTGTTTGTTCTTCTGGTAGTTCATTATACTTTCAATATTCTTCTTCAACGCCATACCTCCAATGCATCAATTCTTCTATGATCTTTATTTATTGTCCAACTTTCACATGCATTTGAGGTAATTGAAAACACCATGACTTGGGTCAGAGCCACCTCAGTCTCACATTGATATCTTTGTTCTTGAACACTTTAAAGAGGTCTTGTGCAGTAGATTTTCCTAATGCAATGCGTCATTTGTTTTCTTGAGTGCTGTTTCCATGAGGGTTGATTGTAGATTCAAGCAAAATGAAGTCTTTAACAACTTCAATCTTGTTTCCATTTATTATGATGTTATTTATTGGTCCAGTTGTGAATATTTTGGTCTTCTTTACATTGAGGTGCAATTCATACTGAAGCTGTGGTCTTTGATCTTAATCAGTAAGTATTTTCTGTCCTCTTTGCTTTCAGCAAGCAAGGTTGCATCATTTGCATATCACAGGTTGTTTTTGAGTCTTCCTCCAATACTGATGCCAGGCTATTCCTCATACAATCCAGTTTCTCAGATTATTTTCTCAGGATATAGTTTGAATAAGTTGATGTTGTTGTTAGGTGCCATTGAGTCGGTACCAATTCACAGTGACCTTATGCACAGCAGAACAAAACACTGCCCAAATTTGGGCCAACCTCACTATTGGTGCAACACTTGAGCCCACTGATCCTGCCACTTTGCCAATCCTTCATGCTGTGGACTTCCTCTTTTCCTCTGACCCTCCACCTTACCAAACATGATATCCTTCTCTAGTGACTGGTCCCTCCTGGCAATATGTCCAAAGTATGAGAGATGAAGTTTAGTCATCCTGGCCTTCAGGGAGCACTCTGGTTGCACTTCTTCCTTTTGGAAGCCCAAGGCACTTTCAATTTGCTCCTCCAACACTATAACTCAAAGGCATCAATTCTTCTATGGTCTTCCTTATTCACTGTCCACTTCAAGCTGACATCTTTGCTCTTCAACACTTTAAAAAGGTCTTTTGCAGCAAATTTGCCTAATGCAATATGTCATTTGATTTCTTGACTGCTGCTTCCATGAGTGTTGATAGTTGATCCAAGAAGAATGAAGTCCTTGAAT